GTGCACCACGTCGAGGCTGCTGAGCAGCTCCCGGTCCGATCGCCCGATGCAGCCGTCGAGGATGTCGTTCGAGAGCTTTTGCCGCGTCTCGGATTCGTCCAGGAGGGTTTGAAGGGCGCGCGATTTGTCGCGGTAGCGCGTCGTTTGCTGCTCGGAGCGCTTCAGCACCAGCACAAAGGCCGCCGTCAGCTCCTGCAGTTTGTGGTGGATCCAATTCTTCTCCTTCTCGTTGGGGTTTTGGAACTGCTGGAGAAGCCACGCCGAGATAGTCGTCAAACGCTCCGCCGAAGCCGGTTCCGGAGCTTCACCCGCACCACTCGGCGTAAGTGGCGAGCCCATGACGGGTAAACCCGCCATATTCGATTCCTGCGTCGACAAGGGCCGCGTGAAGAATAATTCAATCAGTTTGCTCTCGCGCAGATCCGATTCGGTAGGAATGGGAACGGCGGGTGGGTAGTCGTCGTGTAGGGAAAGCTCCACGCTCCCTTGCAGCTCCTCCATGATTTTTCCCTTGGTCTTGCTCGCGTCCTCGTCGGGCCGGAGAAAGTTGCTTTGAAAGTTCAGCAGGGAGGTTTCCTCGCATAGGTGTCTACCTGCCTTCTGCACTTCCGAGAGCAGCACGCTGACGTCGTTCAGGATAATCCCACTTAGATTAAAGGCAAACTGAAGTTTTTCATTGCACTCCAAGGCAAAGCGCTTACTATTGTCGATCAAACGCTTGATTTGGGCTTGGTGCGGCTCAAACGACTCCCTACGAAAGAGTTCTTTAATATCCTGCAGCTCATTGCTCCAGCGCTGCTCCAGCTCAGCCGCACCACCCCTGTGGGCCTTTAAAAACTCAGCCATGATGTTGTTCCGTTTGGAACGTGACTTTGCGCTTTTTGGTCGCGCATTTGCATATTTGATACTCCCCAGCCATTTCCGCGTGATCTCCGAGAGCGTATCAAGTTCCCTTCCTCTAGTGGATCCGCCAATACGATTGCTCCTCTGCGTGCTCACGCTACCATGGGGGTAACTCTTCGATAGAGGCCTCAAACTTACCCGATGCTCTTTTTCTAGATTTATCTCAGGAGATCCGTTGGTGATGGGTTTCGACGTCACTCCCTTGATCCCCTTTTTTTCGCTCGCATTCGATACGTGGCTTTTGGCGGTGAGAGGGGAGGTGTCTTTCGGTGAACCCTGTTGCGCCGTCTGCGTGACATCATCGAGGACAAGTATTTCAGAAGCCTGGGTATTAGGCCGCGTGCCCTGCTCGTTTGCCGATATCGGATCTCCCTCCAGTGAGCGCGACTGGGGTAAAGAACTTTCCTCTCGGTGGGGATCCAGCGGCACCCCCAAGACGCTCCATGTCGGAGCCGCTTGCCCCTCCTCACTGGTCATGCGATTCCCAGCCTGGCCACCCGATGTCGAGGTCCCGCTAGCCACCCCCTCCGAAAGCCGTGCATCGGGGGTTATATTGCTTGAAGGTTGGTCGTCTTTGGTGGAGGCAAACCTTGATTGGAGGGGGGTACTACTGTTTTGCGTCGGATGACCCGAATGCAGAGCCGTGGGCACGCCTTTAGGAGAGCTATCAATGATCGGGGGTAAGTGTGATCGGTGGGGCTGATAGTTCGACGGCACACGAGAGGGAATACGGTCTTTCACATTGGAATCCAAGGCTTCATCGTCCCTAATATCGATCTCTGGGCCTCCAGAAGAGGCACGAAAATAGAAATCAACGATGCGCGTCCTGGAATTTTGTCTGGATTGCATGGTTGCTCTCAAATTCACTTTTTTTCTCCAGAAATAAGTATACAATCGCACACTAGTGTTGTGTGCGTATCTGTGTGATATGAAGCGGCTCCTAAGGCTATGTTGTTGAGGTATCCCTTTTGTAGTTTATTTTTTTCTTCAAGAGGGAAAAGATATAAAGAATATTTTCATCAGAAACCCAGAATTTCGATCATCTAAAAAGTGAGTTCCCATTGCCTTGTTCAAGTAAGGGAAGAGTATCAGGACAAATATAAATGTAATCATATATATGCGTTAATATAAACAATTGTCTATTTATATCAACGTCAGTGCTGTCACATTGCAGCACTAAAAACTTAGAAGTTGGAAAAAAAGGTATAGAACGATCTAAAAGAAACATAGTCAATTTTACTTGGATTTTCTTGAGAATGCTGGAGATATATACCTGTAAATTTACTCAATTTCCTAATGATCTGGTATATTTTTTATTTCCTTAGACGATTAGAATTTGTTTCAATGAGCAAGACCAAGAAATCCCTTTCACCTTGAGGGGAAAAAAGGGAAGTTTTCAATGGACCGTAAAGCATGTCCTTTTCAATTACCGTTTTACCGCTACCATCATGGTTAGCTTATTGGTAAATATCAACCCATACCCAAAGAGAATCGTAAAAAGCAAAATTCCGTGTCAAGCATGAAAATGGAGCCCCCGTGAAGTCCAAATAGGAAAAATCCTACGAGTACATAGCACCAAAGAATAAGCTCCATTATCCAATTTTTTTCCCCACTTTACACCCTCATTGATGGTGTGTGTAAGCATGAAATCATGTCTTTCCAAATTATGCATTTACTCATGATTTTCTAGGCTATAAAACATTGAGATAAAAGCAAAGTATTTTCCGCTGTTCTTTGAACATAAAATACCATATCATTTCTAGATCGTATCTATTGTTAATATTTTTTCCCATCGTTTCTATAAATTTCCTAGAGATAGTCAGGGGCTTGTTGCAATAATCCCTCCTCACACATCACCCTTTGCTCGTCTTCCAAGGGGCATCGTTACTAACCACAAGCTGATGGGTACTATGCTACAACCTATCTACCTTCCGTCAAAATTTTTCTATAAGAAAATGATTGATATCAATGCCCGTTTTCTAGCACTCCCCCCCATCCACTATTAGACAGTAAATGCGAGGCATTTTCGGACCTCCCGTGGTATCCTGCACCCCACTATACGCCTTGTTGGCGCTCGTCACCCCTTCCTTCCGCGCGGTGTTGATCTCGGCGAGGAGGAGGAGATCCACCGGCTCCATCTCGTTATGCTCGATCAGCACCGTTACGCGGGTGGAGTGGCGCGGCATCGTCGGGATCCCCCGTTTTTTCAGCACGGCGTAGACCTCTTCATCGCTCAAAGGGTTCTTCCAGAAGGCCCCCGAGGACGGCCGAGGCCGCGTGGAAGCGAGCGACGAAGCGGAGGAGGAGGCGGGCGACCCTTCCACGGTTTCCACGGTCGGCGAAAGGGGCTGACGCGCGGCCCAGAACACCCCCTCATCGAGCCGCCCGCCAAACTCCGCCTCGCGTCGTGGCAGACACCCCGCGTAGACCGTCAAGAGCGGCCGCAGGAGGTACGGCGTGGCGAGGAGGACGTCCTCCTGGCGCGGGGCCTCGGCGCCGCCGCGACGGCCCTCCGCGGACGGCCCCACGGCCTCCCCAATCGCCTCCAGGACGCTCCCTGGGAGGGGCGGTCGCGGGGCCGCGTCGTCGTCGTCGTCCTCGACGACGCCCTCGCGAAGGGCGCTGACGCGGCGGTGCATCGCCGCGAGGACGTCCGGGACCGCCTTCGGCCCCCCGCGGCCCTG